CTGAGGTTTCGGGCCCTCGGTGACGGCCACTCTCACGCCGGGGCTGGGGCCCAGCTTCCCGGGGCCGGGGGGTCACTCCGCGCTCCTCTCAGCGGCCCTTCTGCGGCCCCTGGTGAGCGTCTGTTTACCCCGTTCCTATGGCACTGTCCTGGCCGCCCGTCCGGGGGGAGCCCGGTGCCCGCTCCCGGCTGTAATTTTCCTCTCGCAGCCTCTCCTCCGCCCCACCCCCGCCTCCGGCCCCCCGCCCTCATTGGGAACTGGGGAGCGGGCCCTGGGTCTGACTGCCCTGCTGGGGCTCCCCCCCTATTTCTAGGCTGCACAACGCGCGCCCCTCGGGCTGGCCCGCTCGCCTGGTGCTCCGGGGGCCCCCGCCCCCATGTAGACGCGCACAGTTCCTGGACCGGGGCCCCCGCTGGAGACTGGGTGGCCGTCTCGGCCAGGCCCGGGCGGCCGCCGCTCCCCAGGTGGCCCCCGGCCCCCCTGCCCCGCCGGGGCGGGCAGAGGTGTCAGGGTGGGGCGCCCAGAGGGCTGGAGGGTGTCCACTCTTCGCCGCGCCAGCTGAGGCAGCTGTGCAGGGCTTGGTTTCCATGTCACCGAGTCCCCGTGAGGAGGAAAAGTGGGTTTGTGGCGAGTTGACGGGTGTCGGAGACTCTGAGTAACCGACCTGCTGGGAGGACGGCCTGGGAGCAGGGCCCGCAGCCCACGCCTCTGAGGCCGCCTTCCTGCGGCCGCCGGGGCTGTCTCGGCAAGTGCAGGCCCCGCTGGACGGGCCGAGGCCCCAGCGGGGGACGCAGGAGGGCGGGCGGGGCGCAGCCACCCTGACCTAGCTCGGGGCGTGGGCAGCTGGGGCTGCCTCTAGCGATGATTCACCCAAGGGTGCCCTGGGCCACGCTGCCCAGCCACCCTCCGCCCTGGAGTCCCCCGTGTGGGGCCAGTGGGGTCCCCGGGGAGCCCCCCACAGTGTGTTTTGTCCTGAGCACGTTTCCGCTGAGGCTGCTTGCTGGGTGCCTCCTCGGCCTGGTTCTGATTCACCCCCACAAAGCTCCTCGGGGGACCTTGCTTCCGTCTGGCAGGGTCCCTGCGCCTTTCATCTGAGAAACAGGAAACCGAGGCTTCTGCCAGGAGAGAACCGGCGCGTCGGGCCCGAGCGGCCTCCCTGCAGACCACCCTCCGGGCTCCAGCGGCCTCAGATTGCATTCAGGGCCTCCCCCGCCGCGGCGCCCAGAAGGGAGGCCGCGGCCGGAGCGGGGAGCCGCGTGGTGGCAGCCCAGCAGCCCGGCTGTCTGGTGGCCGGGGCCCTGGCCAGGCGGCTCGCCAGGCCTTGGTTTTGTGAGGACCCGTCCGGCCGTGCATGTGGGGGCGAGGGCTGCGGTTCTGCGTGGTGCGCGGTGTCCCGGCTAACTGGTGAGTGGCCAGTGCTTTGCGCACTCTGCCACCAGGCCCCCTCCGGCCCCTGGGTCACCTGTGGGTCTGTAACACGTCCCCTCTCCCCTGTCCACGCAGAGGGACCTGGCCAGTCTGGGGGCCCTGACGCGTGTGTTCTGAAGGTCTCCTGGCCTCGGCGTCTCGGGGCAGGTGACGCTGGTGGCCGCGGTGCCCCAGCCCCCGTTTCGCTCTGAACTATGTTCCCTGTTCGCTCACGTCCGGGGGATCTGGCTGAGCCCCTGGGACACCGGGTGTGGAGAGAGGATGTCCGGGAGGTGATCGGGCGAGGTCATGGTGGTGGCGCCCCGGTCTGATCGGACCGGTGTCCCTAGAGGAGAAGGCAGAGCCACCAAGGGGCCCCATGAGGACACAGAGAGAGGGTAACCCCCCTGGAACCCCAGAAGAGAACCCCCACCAGGACCTTCCCTTGACGGTGCCTCGATCTTGGACCGCCTGCTCCCAAAACAGAAAATCTACTGCCCTCACTCCAGCCGCCCTGTCCCCGGTGGGTTGTGCGGGGTGAGCCAGCCGGCCAAGGGGCAGCCTGGGAATCGGGTCCCCTGCCTGGGGTGGGGTTGGCTCGGCTCCTCTGTTCCCACTGGGGTGCTGCCTGCCCGGGGTGGGGGGACCCCCGCGGACCCCCTCGCGGGGCTTCCCAGCTCTCCTGCTCCCCGACCCTCAGTGGGTCCTGACCCAGGACCCCTCCGGGCCCACGGAGCTCATCCGTTTCTGCTTCTGTCGCTGCCGGTCAGGCTCTGGACTTTAGGGTTAACAGCCACACCCCAGGCGCCAGTGAGATGCTGTGCAGCCACGTTCCGGAACGTTCCGGCGGCGCCTGCCCCGGGAGCGCAGCCGGCAGCGGCCGCCATCTTCCCGAGGCAAATAAATAAATGGATTAGAGTTGCAGCCCTCGGCGCGGCTGACACAGGGTGTGTTTGTGCACTGGGTGGAAGAGATTTCTCTAAATTTAATTATAATTTAAGTGTAAAATATGCCTCTTCGGTGCAAGTTTCGCGCCTCATGCATAATTACTTCGCCACTCTCTCCCAATCACCCCCTTACGACGCCTCTGTGTGCTGTGAGCGATTAATTTATAGGCTGGTAATGGGCTAAAACAACGTTTAAGTCATTTCGCCCAATGTAGCTTTTAAGGAGGGGTTGAGATAATTATTTAGAGGCACGTTTTATCACTTCGGAGCGTCACCCGGCTCTCCCTCCCACGCTGGGGCCTGCGGCCTGGCCCGTTCCCCCTCCGCGCCCCCTCCCCGCCCCGCTGCCGCCTTCGGTCGTTATAGGACGAGCTGGCTCCAAGCGCCCTAATTTGGCGGTGATGACACGGGGTGACACATGGGTCCCCGGCCAGGAGCGGGGCGGCTGCGGAGGGTGGAAGCCGGCTCCTCGTTAAGTCGGGGCGGAATTTATCGGCCGCTGGGCAGGCGCGGCTCGGAGGCCGGGTGGCAGGAGGCTTGGCCTGGGGCGGGGATGTGGTTCCGAGAACCCCGGTGCGGGGTGGGTGCGCCGCCGGGCAGGTGGCTCTGCTTTCACGGCCCGGCCGCGGCGGGGAGACGGCGGCCCCTCATCTCAGGAAACCCTCGCACGGCCGCGCAGGCCGGCCCCCCCGGCGGGCGTGCTGGTGGCTGCGGGGGCTCTTTTCATCCCCAGAGCGCGATGCTGGCGCCCGGACGGCTCGGGGCCGGGCCTGGACGCAGGACGAAGGGGCGGGGGTGGCGGAGGGGGGCTCTGACGGAGCCGGTGGGGGAGAGCAGGGGGCGCCGGCGCCGAGGCCCTGCCCGCAGGGCCCGATAGCCAGTCCAACCCCCCCCCCGAGGTGGGGGCGGGGACGGAGGGGGCGGTGGCCGAGCGGGGACACCGGGAAAGAGCAGGCCAGCGGTGGGCTGTTTAGGGGGATGTGCGTCCCCAGGGTGGAGGAGGATCCGCTCCGCTGCCGGTGGTCGCTGCTGGGGGAAGACGGAGCAGCGGCGGTGGTCCTGTCACCGTGTCCGGCCGGCCGGCCTCCGTCGCCCCGGTCCTCGCGGCCCCCCGGGGGGTTGTGGCAGCCCCGGCCGGGTGCGGGGCGGCCTGCGCCAACGGCGGCGGTCCGCGTCCGTGCGTCTCCTGCAAAGAGCCTCATAAAGGGGCCCCGACTGGAAATCAATTCTTTAGAGCTGAAATCAATACCAATAACTAATATTAATACTGATTATCTTTTGTTGACTGTGCGTCGCAGCTGGGGATGGATTGTTTCTGAGGGTGAGCAGAGGCGCCCCGCCGTGCGGCGGGGGAGGCGGGGGCCCTGCTGCCCCTGCCTCTTTCGTGGAGCTCGTCCCAGATCTCGTTCCCTGCCATGGTCCCCGCGAGGCTGGGCTCAGCAGCTGCACATGCGGCCGGGAGCCGCCGGCCTCTAGCTCCTGACGGGTGCCGCCGAGGGGAGGCGGGTTTGCGCTGTACCTGGGGCCCACATACCAGGGCGAGGGCCACACGGGGAGCGACAGCGTGGCTCCCATGCAGCCCGCAGCCTGGCGGCCCCGGCTCAGGCCTGCTCCGCCGTGGGGCCCCTCAGGGGCCAGCCCGCGCCTCTGCTCAGGGCCTGCGGGGCGGGAGCCCGGCGCCCAGAAAATGAAGCCACCCGCCGCAGAGGCCGGCCTGGCTGTCGGGCGTGGCGCTCTGCCGTGACCCCTCCCTCTCTCTAAGAGGGCCAGTCGCCAACTCCCACTTTCTGGGGGCACCGTCGGGGCCACGGGGAGCAGAGCAGGATCCGGGCCTGGGCCTCTGTCTGGCCACCCCCAGGCCCTCGCGTGTGCCCGAGGTCGCAGTCTGTCAACAGCAGGGGCACGAGGAGGACAGCAGCTCGTGTTGGGAGGCGCGGGAAGGGCCCTGTCTGCAGGGGCGGGGGGGGAAGGGGACAGGGACCTCCCTGGGGGGGCTGCCCCTCATCGGGTCCACCGGGCTGCCATCGGCGGGCTCCCTGGCCCCGTTTCTTTCTCTGTACATGGAGCAGCCATGGCGTCCCCACGGCAGGGTGGCGGCGAGGGTCCCCGGGCTGCCCTGCCCTGTGCTCAGACGGCTGCCTGGCCCGCGGACGCCGCCCGGGTGGCTGCCGTGACCACTGTTGCTGACAGAACAGGGGCTGCGGGGCCCGTCCGTCCCTCTTTGGATCCGGATTGGAATCTGAGGACGTCCCCGCGCCCTCAGCTCCCTCTGACGCCACCCGCCTGGGAGAGGCCGCTGACTGGGTCTGGCGAGCAAGGGTGGCCTCCGGCCTCCGCCCTCCCCCGCTGAGGTGTGCCGCGGCGGGCCGCGGTCGCCGCCGGCGCAGGGGTGCCCGTGACGCCTCAGGGGCGCACGGGAAGCTTCGCGTGCCTTTGGAGGCACAATGAGCACATGCATCCAGGAGAGAGGGCTGTGGGGAGGATCGCGAGTGGGCGCGTGTGCCTGTGTGCACGCGTGTGTGCACACGTGGGCCTATGTTTTGAGGACACAGTAGAAATTACTCATTATGCAGTGCCAGGTGGCCAGGTATTTACACAATTAGACATTCTCTGTGTCGTAAGTCGGGAACCTTCTGGGAAAAATTTCAGACTGACACGCAGACCTTAAACCTGGCAATCTGAGGAGAAGCTCGGGAATAGTCTAGAAGGAGGAAGAAAGAGAACCCCTGGGGAGCCAGCGAGAGTGCCCGGCAGCCGCGGTGAGAGAGGGCCCCAGGGTGCCCCCGCCGGCGGGGGAAGGCAGGCCTGAGGCCCAGGTTCCCCGGGCTGACCCGCGCTCCCTACGGGAGGGGCGCAGGAGGGGCGCGGGAGGGGCGCGGGGTGGGCCCCGCCCGCCCCTCACGGGCCCTCAGGAGCCGCTGGGGCCTCCCTGGGAGGCGCGGGGCTCAGGCCGTGAAGCCCCGCGAGGACTGAGGCCCGAGAACAGCCTCTGGGGGCGGCCCCAAGCCCGCCTGCCGCCTCACCATGTCTGGGGCCAAGCTGGGCGACCGGCCGTGCCTGTCGGGGGCCAGGTGGACAAGGACGGGTGGAGGAGTGGGGTTCGCTGAAGGCCTTCGAGGGGAGCGGCGATCGTGGGGTGTGGGGGCTGCGGGTGAGCCAAGAGTCGGGCTGGGGTCCCCAGGCGGGCGTGCGACTGGCTGGGGGGGCCCAGGCGGCCCCAGGGGCTTGACCAGCCCTCGGGTGGGGTGGGGTGGGGTGGGCCCCCCCGGGGCTGTGCCTACCCGACCGACACGCGGCCGCAGGGGGCAGGCTGCCGGCCCTGGTGTTGGGGTGCACGGGCTCCGGGGCTGGGGGCCGGCGGCCATCCGGAGGGAGCGGGGGGCGGGGGCCAGCTTCCCCTGGCCCGGCAGCAGGGTTGGGGGAGAGGGCCTTGCCCTCGAGGACTCTGGGTGTGTCGCTCGGCCACAAGTCACATCATTTTCTCTTGAGTGAGGACCATTTGTGCTCTCCCCACAAACACACAGGGACCAGAGAAGCTGGCCTGGGTTTGGTTTCCTCGGAAGTTTCTGGAAGGTCTAGGACAGGGCCCTGCAGAGAGGAAGTCGCAGGACAAACACTGCGGTGTGGAACAAGTCCCCCCCAGAGCTGTTTGGACAGCAGCCCAGGCCCTGAGCTGGGGGTGAGGTGGGGCCAGGTCAGGCGGCAGAGGGAGCGGGGACCCCGCGTCCCCAGCCCTGGGGTTCCACGCTGGCCCTGCTTCCGACGGCGGCGTGAGGGGCCGGTCCTCGTCTCTAGGCCCCGGTGTTCCCATCCTTGGGGTGGGGGCTGGGGGCACGGTCCGGGAGGCAGGCCCCCGGGCCCTCGAGGGTGGGGCTCCTTCTGGCCCCTCCTGGGCCCTGGCTGCGGCCGGCTCGGGCTCCCCTCAGGCCCAGGCCCCTCGGCTCCAGCGTGGCTGTCCCTGCCGCCCCTCCGAGCCGGAGCCCACCCGCTGGGCCTCACTGACCACCAGCTGACTCACTGACCATCGGCCTCAACACCTTGACGTGGACAGACAGACTGAGGACAAACTGGGGGAGGGGAGATGGGGCTGGGCCGGGGGACCGAAGAGGGGCTGCTCCCCTCGGCCACGCCTGTCCGTTACTCTCTCTCCGCACATCTGTCTGCAGCCCCACCGGACAGGGGCGTCCCTCCGCATGGCGTGCGGGAGGCCCTGACGTCAGCTTCCGGAGCCCCGTGGGCTCAGCCGGGCTGCTGCAAAGAAATGAAACGCGTGTTTGCCCGCTTACAGCGGGCCGCGAGGGGGCTCCCACGGCAGGCGGAATCGCTGTCTCCATTTTATAGGTGAGAGCACCGAGGCGCGGGGCTCGGGGTGCTGCCCGTCACCCACGGGGTGGGGGATCTCATCCACGTCGCTCTGATTCTGGAATCCGCGGGGCCAAGCCCAGGCCCCGGGGGGCGGGCGACGGGGGGCGGGGGGCGGAGCCCGCCTGCAGGCAGGTTCCAGGCTCGCAGCGTCGCCGCCCGCTGCTCCGGGCGCGCCCGCGGAGTTTTCCATGACGGAAGGGACTGAACGTTCCATCTCGAGACTCGGGAGGACCTGCGCGGCCTGGCTGTCCTCAGGAATGTTCTCAGAATCTCCACGGCGGCCTGTGAGGGCCAGCGTCCGCCCCCAGCCCTCTCCCCTGCGTGTACAGACGGAAGGAGGGAGGTTTCCCTGCCGGCGGAGGCCCCGCAGCCACAGGACCGGAGGTGGCCCGCCCGGGTCTCCTGGCCGCCGTCCTGCGCTCTTGTCCCCACGGGTGGCCCCCCTCGGACACGGCACAGGGAAAAGCGGCCTCCTTGGCTTCCTCCACATGTGGGGCTCGGAGGCCCGCACGCGGCAGAGCGTGTGCGCCTGGAGACTCCGGGGGTGTGGCCGTGGTCAGAGGGAACCCAGCCCCGGCGCCACTGGCAAGGCCACGTGACCGGTTGGGCCTCAGTCTCCTAATCTCTCAAATGGGTGTGGCCGCCTTTCCCTAGCAGGGCAGGCCCAGGGGCCCAGGGCCGGGCGCGCTCACCCGCCCAGCTCCTGGCCTGCGGGCGGCCTGGGTGGTTGGGGGCTGTCCCATGTCCCTCCTGCATGTCATTGCTTGCAGGTGCGGCCGGCTGGAGACACCGGGGGTTAACGCCCCACGAGCGACCCTCCGTCAGGTGTCGGTGGGCGGGTGCTCTCCTGGGGGGAGGGGTGACAGTCCTGGGGTGTGCTCTGCAGTCGGACAGACCCCCAGGGGACTGGGCCCCCCCAGCCTGCCGCAGAGCCCCGCCCGGGAAAGCGGCCTGCTCCCCACTGAGCGTCCAGGAGTGGCCGCCCGCCCCTGCGCCCGGGCTCCAGGCCTGCCTCCGGGGGCTTGGCTGAGACAGAGGCTGCTGGCTTGTCGCTGGGACCCACGGGAGAGCGGAGGACACAGAGGCCAGCCCCGTAAGCGTGACCGTGGCGGCGGCGCAGGGGGCTTCCTGGGGAGGCGCCCTGTGAGCGGAGTCTAGAAACAAGCGAGGCGGGGAGTCCGACCAGGGCTCCGGGCTCTGGAGACCCCCCTGCGCCCTGTCCCCCGCTGTGAGTGCCCTTCGGCCCGGCCTCTGGACAGCCGGCGGAGGCCTCAGTGACCGGCAGTGGGGGCAGGAGGCGGTGTGGACTCCCTGTGGACTCCCGGCCGCCCGCCCGGGCTCCCTCACTTGTGCAAAATTGATGTCGGGTCATTAGCGGCTGCAAAAGCTCTCAGGCAGTTAAACATTAGCACTGTGTGCTGGGAAGCTTGGTCGCCAGTGCCCAGGGCTGACGGTCAAGGCCGCGGCCCTCGGCCTTGGCTTTAGAGTTCTCCGGCAAACTGGGTTTCTACGTGGCCACCGCGACCCAGGGCCAGAGCTCCCAGGGTCTTGGAAGGGCCCCAGAAATGGGCCGGTTCCTCAAAGGAACTGCCGCGCGCCCCGGCGAGCTGAGGCCCCCTCGGGGGGGGGGGTGGCCGGGTGATGGGCAGCAGGCAGCTGGGTGGCAGGCGGCCACGCGGTTCGCTGGCTGGCCGGACCCCCCGACTGCCATTTCAGGCTGCATCAGAAGCTGCAGCCTCTGAAGCCCCTGTGGGGTGGGCCGGGCCAACACCCGCTGCCCCAGCGGAAGCCCCTAGGGCTGAGTCTCCAGCCGCTGGGGAGGGACGGGGAGGCTCACCGGGCCGCAGGGCCCTCCTCGCCCTGGACGGGGGCACCCTCTCCTCCGGGGCAAAGGCTGCGGCCAGCGGAGAGGGGGCGGGCCCCTGAGTGGTTCAGAGGAGGGAGGACACCCCGCCCCAGCAGTGTGACCCCCTCAGGCTCTGGGACCTGGCAGCCGGGGGTCCCCGGGGACATCAGCAGGCGTGTGGGTCCGCCTGAGCCGCCCTCCCCCGCGCCCCCCACCCTGGACCCTGGCACAGCAGCCGCTTTTCACAGTGGCCCGCCACGGCCCGCCCCCCCCCGCCCGACAAGGAAGGCCCCCGGCCCTGAGTCCGCCCTTCGGGCCGGGCCGGCCGTCTTTCAGGCGCGCGCGGGCCCGCTGCCTCTCAGACGCATGGCGGGGCCCCTGGACCAGGGCGGGCTGAGGTCCACCTCGGACACTGGACTCGGCATTGCCAGGCGAGGCAGGGGTCACTGGGAGGACTGCTGAGTGGACAAGACAGCGAGACTTGGGATCTTTCTGGAAGAGCAGGGCTGTTTGTTCACCAGCTGGGTGCCCCGGTCGTCCTCGAGGGGCTGAAACCCGTGGGGCGGGGGAGGCCGCGGCAGCGTTGGGAGCAAAGGCTTTGATGCCCGACCAGCGCAGGGTGGCCGTGAGCCGGTGTCGGTGTCCCCAGCCAGACGGGGAGCGCGGGCCCGGACGGGCCGCTGACGCTGGGCTGCTGCCACCCACACTTCGCTAACATTTGCCCCGTTGCAGTAGACACACCGAGTCACGGCAGGGTCGGGCGTACAACATGGCGAGCAGACGCGCATACACCTCATGAAGCGGCCGCCCCCCGCCGGCAAGTCCAGCGCACCCAGGGGCGTGTGGGGCGCCGCTGAGGGCCAGGTCCAGCCCGCCTCTCCGGCCCGTGGCCGCCGGCCCCTCCTGTGCATCGGAGCCGTGAGGGGAGCGTCGCACGGGGACCTGGGCCACCGCGGAGCCTCCCAGCCTCCACCTCCCGTTTGAACGTGGGGCCGGACGCCCCTGGAGCAGGCGGTCGGAGGCCCAGGGTGACAGAGCCCGTGGTGTCCCCGTGAGCTACGAGGGCCCGGCCCACCGAGGAGGCTGCGGGGACCTCGCCGGGCCCTCCTCTCCTGGACCCGGCACCCGCCAGGCGGCCAGGGGACCAAGCTGCTCGTGTGGAGAGGCTGATTTCCGGACCGGGGGCGGCGGGGCTGGCTGCTGAGGCCGGGGCCCCGAGGCCTGCGGGGTCTCCCCCGCTGTCCCCCTCAGAGCCGAGGGCTCGGAGACGCCATGGGACCCTGGGCCCTGCAGTGACACCGACCAGCCTGTTTGCAGCCCTGGACCTGGGGGAGCAGAGGGAGCAGAAAGCCCCCCGGGGCCCCTCCTCTGAAGACGCCTCAGCTCAGTTCCAGGACGGACTTCCCATTCCACTGAGGCATAGAATAAAAATCAGACAGCCCCCGGGTTGGGCAACTCCACTTTCTTTTTTAAAGGTTCTCTTCCTCTCAGTAAACACATCAGACCTCTCGATCAGCTTTTCTGTCTTGTTGACAGGCCAGAGGGCAGGTGGGGACAGGTCTGCCAAGTACTTCCGCTCTTCCTGGGCGACGGGGGAGGGGCTGCGGGCCGCACGGGGTGGCGGGGGGCGGTGAGGCGCAGAGCTGGTTCGAGCCCCAGCTTTGCCGGCGGCCAGCTGCACGGCCCGGGGCGGGTCCCCGGCATCTCGGAGCCGCCTCCTCCCGAGCGCGGTGGGAGGGCACGGTGCCGGGGCCTGGGAGGAGCGGGGCCCACGGCAGAGCCTGACACCGGGGTTCCGGGGTGCGCGAGCACACGTGAGCGCACGTGTGTGCAGGGGCGTCCCGGACACACGGGGAGGGAGTGTGGACGATGCGGAACAAGGAGGAGACGGAAGCAGGCGGAGAACCCGTCCGCCCCGCGGGGCGTCCAGCTGTAGAGGAGTCAGCCAGAGAACGAGGGCCGCGGGGAGGAGCACGTGGGGGAGGGGGAGGCAGGGCGGCCTGGCCGCAGAGCACCCCTGAGCCAAGGCCGGAGACACGGGCCGGCTGGTGGCCATGCTGAGGGGCGAGGGGGCAGCCACCACGAGGGCGCAGTGTGACTGAGGGAGAGAGACAGCCGCCATGACCAGGAGAGAGGCCACAGCGCCAGGCAGAAGCAGCCCCTCCGTGCTCCTGGGAGGGGCAGCTCCAGGGCGCCGGGGAGCCCGGAGGAGCCCAGGAAGGCTTCCTGGAGGAGGGCAGCGCTCTGGATGGTTCTGGATCGGTCGGCAAGTGACCTCTGCAGACGACAGCGGCCACCCAGGACAGGGGGAGGAGGGCGGATGTCCGGGAGGCCACCCTGGATGGGAGGCTCTCAGGGGCAGGAGGAGGAGCCCCGTCCCTTGGAATGGCCACACCCGCGTCCCGGTCCAGGCCTCGGGCTGCGTTCGGGCTCTGGGGCAACACCGCACCTGCCCGCAGATACCCCAGTTTCCTTCCAACGCATGAGCCCCGCACGAGGGTCCACCAGCCCGGCCCCCTCTGCAGGGCTGCCTCCCCGGCCTGGGCCGGGGGTTTTGAGTCTGGTGGAGGGGGAGCCGGTAGGCACGCGGGAGGGGCGGCCCTCGGCCTCGGGTCCCGCCTTTGGGCTGCAGGCCCCGGGGGCCGCCGCTGTGTGTGGCCTGGCCCTGTCTTGGGCCCGGAGCGTCTGGGCCCCGACTCCTGGGAGTCGCCACGGCCCCGTGGGCCATGCCGGCCACAGCCTGCAGGTCTCAGCGCCGTGGCTGCGCACGGGCCGCACAGGCTCCAGCCGCTGGACACCTTCGCCGCGCTCGCGGGCGCCCTGCTCTCCTGGGGGTCTAGGGCACGACCCCGGTGTTCATGTCGCTCACTCACTTGCTCCCCAAACTCCCGCCCCCTCCTTCATCTGCTCCTTCCCTCGTTGGGCCACGCAGCGCTGGACTCCAACTGGCTCCCCCTCTCTCCGCGGCAATGGGGGAGGGGCAGCGTGGCACCTGTGGCACGCAGTCCCAGGCCCGGCAGGAGAGGCGCCCCGAGCCCAGGCTCCGCCCCGTGCGACTCTTGATCGCGCCACGCCCCGGCCCTCCAGCTGCCATCGGCCCCTGGGATGGGACCCATTCGCTCTGCCCGGGCCTCCCCCTCCTCCCCATCGGGACAGCGCCTCCCACCCTTGCTGTCTCGGCATGGACGTGCCCTCTTCCAGGCAGCCCTCCCTGATCCGCCCAGTCGGGATTGGGGGCCCCAGTCCGGGCCTAGGCCCCGCCACGCATCGAAGCCACCTGTTAGGGACCCGAGTCCCAGGGAACCAGGACCCACTCACGGGCTCCTCGTCCTCCCTGCGCCCAGCGCTGGTGTGGCAGGTACTCGAGGACTAAACGGGACAAAGGGATGAGCTGTGCGCCTGCTCCTCGTGGCGCCTTCCGGCGGCTCGGGGGTGGGACTTTTGCGGCCGACGGGGGTGCCGACCGGCGGCCACAGGCCTGCCTTAGGGGCCGCTGCCGTTCCCGGCCGGGTGCCCGTGTGCGCAGGCGCTCAGGAGGGAGCGCGTGGGCCCCAGGGCCTCCTGCCGCGCTCTGGGGCCTGGCTCTCATCTCAGTGGGGCGGCGGGCCGGCCAGGGCTCGTGGTGCCCGTCACAAGGGTCAGGCCCCCGCGGGGGACCTGGCGGGCACTTCCAGGAGGGGGCAGAGGTGCCCAAAGCCGATGTCCCTCAGCTGTCCCTGCCGGGCACCTCCTGGCCTGGCCGCAGGGTGGGCCTGGCTCCAGCCTGGAGCCCGCCAGCCCGGCCGCTCGTCCTAGCTTGCCCGGCTCACCGCATGGCCTTGGGCCATCTCCGCTTGGGCCTCGGGCTCCCCACCTACACGGGGGGCCCCCAAGGCTCCCTCCGCATCCTTAGAAGCAGAGGCTGTGTGTCCCCACGCAGAGCCAGGGCAGGAGGCAGTGCCAGGGGAGCGTCAGAAGCACTTCCTTCAGCGGACCCCTCCTGATACGGACCCGCTGGCTGCGCGAGGTAGCGAGCACCCTGCCACTAATGGTAATCAAGCAGAGATGTGATGGCCACCTCCCCGAGGAGCTGTGTGCGGTTCCAGGAGGCCTCCGAGTGGCCTCGGGCCCCACAGCCCTGCCGCCAGCCTCTCCGCGGGCACGCTGCGCGGCCCGGTGGCCCGCCTCGGGCCTCTGTCTCCCGCCCAGGGAAACCTGACCCTGTGGTTGCTTGAAAGATGAGAGGAACTTGGGTTTGATGTTTGGAAGAAGTGGCTTTTTATCAAAAAGCCCCCTGGGCGCCGGGGCCGCCACCACTGAAATTGTATCTTGTTTCAAGAAGGGGAGAGGACTGAGGCTGGCGGTTATTGAGATTTATGGCTTCCCCGGAGCCCGATGGCCTCAGAATCTTCTTAACCGTGGGGCTAAGTGGTACTGAGACGGACCACAGAGCCGAGGGCGCAGCTCGGTCCCCCACCCCCTCTCCTGCAGCACCCCCCCCCCGCCCCTGCTGGGGAGCATCCTGGGTGCACGCCAGGCAGGTGCCACCGCTCAGCTCAGCGGGGAGGAGGGAGGTGCGGAACGCTCTTCAGCGCAGGCTTCTGGATGATTTCCGCTCCTGTTGCTGTTGGCTGGGGACCCGGTGGGGCAGGGGTTGGGGGGTGGCCATCCTGGCAGACAGCAGGGCGGGGCTCGTGGCTGGAATGAGGCTGCCCGCCCGGCAGTGTCCGGGCTTTCCCCAGGCCTCCCAGGGCCGGGCGACGGTGTCTGTGTTGTTTAGAAAGCGGGCAGCCCAGCCCAGCACTGCGTTCAGCAGGCGCTCAATGCATGCACGAGACCTGCCCTGTGGAGGCAGGCGGGGGACCCCGGGGCATGGCTCTGGCAAGTAAGGAAGAGCTTTCCAACCAGCTGCCTCAGCGGGAGTGAGGTGCCCGTCTCTGGAGGCATGCAAGGGAAGCTGCTTAACCTCTGGCAAGAAGGCGGGAGGGGCGTCTTCAAGGCGAAGCCCGTGCAGAGCCTCTGGCTGGGGGCCCTGTCTTTGTCCCTGGTCACAGGGAGAAAGGCTGAGAGGTGCCCCAGCATTCCCACTTTCTCTGTCTGCAGTCGTTCCCGGGCGGCGGAGGCTGGGCTTCGGGGCAGGCCCGAGGCGCTGGGGCTGGGGCTGGGGCTGGGGCTGGGGACAGCAGTGCCTGTTGGCCTTCTTCTGCTCGGGCCACCTGCCCCGGGAGCTGCCGGTTCAGGGAGCATCAGGCATTGTGGGAGCAGCCCCGAGCCCGGCCCACCAGACCCCTCCCCCACAGGCCCAAGAGCAAGGAAACTGCTGGTGGGTGTTGTAACGGAGTTTTGTGGTGGTTTGTTACGCAGCTGAAGCTGACGAATGCATGTCCATGCTATAGTGCTGACATTGTTATCACTCAGTGCTACCGGTGGGGAAGCTGGGCTCAGAGGGATAGGTCGGGCCACGCTCCGGAGGTGCCCCCACTTGCAAAGGCAGCCTGACACTCAAGCCCAGCGGTCTGGCCACAGAGCCTGGGCTCTCAGCTCCAGCGGCAACGCCTGTGCCTCCCTTCCTCCCTCCAGGGAGCCCCGCTCGGCGCCCAGGGCCGGGGGCACCGCGGGCAGGCCTGCAGGTGAACCGCAGAGGGAGCCCTCACTCAGGAGGGCCAGCTGCAGCCAGGACCAGGCCCCATGACCGACTGTGTGCAGGTCCCCAGGGTCCCTGGTCTCCGTCGGCTCCCTGTGGTCGCCCCACCGCAAGGTGCTCGCCTCCTCTCTCTCCAAGGGTGGGCCCCACCTAACACGCTCATTCCCTTCAAGGTGCCGAGACAGGCGAGCGGATGGAGCCGGAGCCCGGAGACCAGGCTGCAGGGGACCGACTGTCAGCC